CACTTTCATATAAAGTATGCTGACATAAGATGATGTCCCCTTTGATCCAGCTGTTTTTACCTTGCATTCTCTTCTCTCCTGATGTGAAGGACCATTCCTAGAGCGTTGGTTAGGCTCTGCTTGGCCATCACCTGTCGCTTTGTTCAGCGTTTGCCTCCAGGAAGGTGCACACATGTGCACACATGCGCAGTTCTGCCTTTGCTGCAGAGAGGAGCAACCTTGGAGGAGGCCTGGGCATCTGGATTTTGTTTCCCTCATTTTGCCTCTGTGTTTTCGCATACCTCCTTCCAGTTTCCTGTCTTGCTGTGTATTGATCCAGTCCGTTGTTTTCTCTAAACTACCCATAAATTGGCTGTACTTCCTCCTCATGATTTTTCATCTCCCAATTACCCTTCTCCTTGCCTAACCGGATGTCTAGTTCCATCACTCCAGTGGAATGGCTCGGTCAGTCACCAGTGAATGAGAGAGACGTGTCAGTGCTGGCCTTACTATGCCTTCCCCGCCAGTCCTGGCTGTGTCTGCTCGGAGCCTTTCTCCCTCCTCCCTTCCCTGTCTCCTAGGTTCTGAAGCTCTAACTGCTCCTCCAGGTTCTACACCGGGTGATTCTAAACTTTTTAAATCACCAGCAGGTGACTGGCCACGAGTTCCAAATTTCCACTGCCGACTCCCCTTTGGAGCTCGAAAGTGACGAGATGCTAACTCCTGTCTGGGTACTTCCATGTGGTATCAGGTGGCTATGTCCGTCTTAGCATGTTCAAAGAGAAATCCCTGAGTATTTCCTTCTGCCAACCTGTCCCAGCTCCGTCATTCATCCCCTTCAACTGCCTTGAACCTCTTTCTCGGGCCATCAACCTGGTGGCCATTCCTGGACTTTGTCCTCACCCATCACATCCCAGCATCACCAAGTCCAGCTGATTCTGCCTCGGGAACTATTCTCATCTTTCTACTTGCACTGCTTTCTTTGTGCCTGAGCAAATGTCTGTTGCTCATCTCCCAGCTTCCATTCTTGCCCTCCAGGATCTATTTTCTACCTGGTAACCCAGAAGGAGCTTGCTGAATGTACGTGAAGCACAGCAGTCTTTGAATCCCCTCAGATCCCCGAGCCTAGAGCCAACATCAAACGCTGTAATATACAGTATAAAGGTCTCGTGCTCCGCCAGTTCGAGTCCCCTTCCCTGCTCAGCGGTGTAGCAGTCACCCAGCCTTGCCCAGGTCCTGCAGAGGGCTCGGTCACAGGCCTCTCCTGCCCTCTGAGGGTGTGGGGTGGAGGGTGGCAGGGCTGGCAGGCCCCAGGGCTAAGTGCTGAAATCTCCGCTCACTCCTCATTCTGCTGCAGGGTCTCTTGCCCATCGCCTCACTCTGGTATCTCCATTCTATGTAACCGCTGTCTGAGACCATATGGACCTGTGTATTCCCCGCTTCCCCTTTCTCCTTTGTGTCAACTGTGTCAACAGTGCCTGGCACCAAGAGGTGCCCAGCACAGGGGTCCAATGAATGTTCCATTTGAGCAGATGTCTGCTCTGCTGGCCCAGGAACAGATGGGCTGGCCATTCCCTACAGCGGGCCTTTCTGCAGGCGTGAGGCTGTCGGTTTCCTCATCTGAACTATGTAGTTGGCCTGCCTGTCCACTGTGCAGCACCAAAGGTTCAACGGGACAAATCTGAACGCGGGGCCCTGTGGCTACTGTTCAATAGGCACTTAATACTAGCTAGTGTGTATCTGCACAAGCCACACACTCACACTTGGCACACTGAGTCGAGTGTCCTGCCCTTGGCACCTCAGCCTTTGTGCCCCCGCAGCGATCTGCGCGTCTGACAGACTCTGCCCCTGCGCGGCTGGGAGCACTGGAAACCTCCGGAGCAACTTGTCTTGCTCTCCAGGGTAACAGCAGGCGCAAGCACCCTCCGGGCCAGCTTCCTGCTTCGAGATGTGCAAGCCCTGGTCAGAGGCTCCTTTCACTTGGGACAACACAGAACAGCTGGAACAATTTAATCTTTATCATTTATTATTTCTGTTTGGATAACATATATACATATATACAAAACACCTACTGTCAGAATCCTCTTTGATAATTTCATTTGATTTACAAAAACGGGACAGCAAAATAACTTAGGTCACTAATACTGTACAAAAATAAAACTGATTAAACAGTTGTAAAGATCGGTTATCTTACAGTGTTACAGATCATTCCTCTGTGATGGAAGAGCATCTCGGTCTACCCAGTGAGGGCTACTGTGCTAGGATCTGCAGACGGACAAGCGAGTCGGTTTCTGTCACTCTACCGAACAGAATTCTCAGAAGCAGCATGGTGTAGAGCCAGCCTGCCAGGGCGTCAGTCCGCAATGGAGAAGAGCTTTCTTCGTCCCTAACCCAGGAGAGGAGAGATCTTAACTCTAAAACTAGTCCATTTTCCAGAATATGACAACTACTTACAGTATTAGGTAAAATGACGCTTCTCTCTTTTTAAACACCTGTGGTAGTCTTTCAAAAATTCAGTTTGGTTAAAAAAGTAAACAAAAATTACTATCCTGCATTTGGATTTTTCAGAAGTTAAATCCATGGTCTTTTTAATATAAAAAGTAATTACTTCATAGTTTTAGTGTTGACCGAGCTCTAGTAGTCTATCGGAAGCATACCATGACGGTAAATCTAATCAGAATGCTGGTTTCTGTTTTGTGGTGTTTTAAAACAGGATTTCTCACAAAGAATAAAAAGCCTCGAGTTTATAGTACGTTACTAGAACACATAAGAGAATATCAAATGTGTGTTTGTCAACAACTTGAAAAGGCAAGTAGCAACTTTTTTGGGGAATTGTGCATTTTTTTTTTAAATAAGTTGCTGCAATTAGATCCATCGAAGTGCTTGACAAAAGCCACATTTAGATTTACTCCTAAAAACTAGAAAGATTGTCTTTCACTGACTTTATTTTCCTTCATTTCTTTCTGTGAGGGAAAGACGAGTTTTTCCGAGTTAGCAGGTTGCTAGGCAACCTCCAACTCCTCACTCACGGAAGGCAGCGTGCAGTGTTCCAAGCAGGCCCTCCCTGAAGCTCTCTGAGAAACAGGGAGCTAACCTATTCCGTATGGAAGAACAGATGTCCTGAAAACTGATTTTGGACACAGAAATTAAAATTTGGTTTAAAACAAGCGTTTCAAAAATCTGAAACAGAGGTAGAAAGTGTTCTTTATTTTTCCTGACATGTTTTCTCCCGAGAAAACACTTCCTTTATTAGTCCATGGACTGCCCCCAGTCCCTAGTGTTAAAAGCAGTTCTCTTTATAGAACTACCAATACAACTACGTTGGTGAAACAACAACGAAAAAAACAGCGTGCTAGTGATGGCTGTTGAAGAGTCAGCCGAGACCCGTGCCCGCCGCAGGGCCCACCCTGATTCGAAATGGCGAGGAGTCAGGTGGAACAGGACTTCACCGCTCGGTAGGCACCCGAGCTGACACGACATGTCGGCAGCACATGTAAATACGAGGGTGCACCATAGCTCCCCGTCTGTAGTTATCAGATAAAATCGCCAGAAAGCGTTACTTCTGAAGAAAAAAAAATGTAAACATTTCCCCCCTGATCACGGCTGACTCTCCTCACTTGAGGTTGATTTTTCTTTTTTTTTTTTTTCTTTTTTCTTTTTAAACTATGAAAACTCATTGTTCTGCGCACATAAAGGCCAAAATGAGGTCTTGGGACAGGTGGCGCCCGCGGGGGTGGTGGCTGGGACCACTGTAGACACCGAGACGTGAGGCGCAGTGGCGAGGCTCTGATGGGACGGACGTGGCCTCTCCGTTGCCCACCTGTGCCCTCGGTTCCCCCTGGAACTAGCACGGAGTCTCCCTGGGGACTGGCTGCCTACAGGAGTTTCCTTCCCTCGTCCTGCGGCCACTCCCTTCCTTCTGACACAGCTCTCTGCATCTAACAGTGGGGGTTTGGTGGGAACGTGCCAAGGGACCTACGAACCTCCACTGCCATCAAACCCAGCAGAGATAACATCTTTTAGTGACATTACGGTACACTAAGGGGATGTTAACCACAAGGACAGGAAAATGTGGAAAAGTTAATAGAGTTAAAATTCTTTTTAAAAACACTTTTTAAAAGTTTTTAAGACGCTACCCTCCTCCTCCTTTCGTGCCTGTTGGTGTAGCCTCTGCCCTCGCATCTCCGCCATGGTTTCTTAGGGACACGTGTGTACTGTGGAAAACGCAGATTAGAACGTGGCGCTTCTATCTTCAAAGCATAAACTTATTCATCCTCTGCATTAGGAAAAAAAGTGCAGCTTATGTTGAGAAAGTACAGTTCATACAAAGCAAGGTTGAAAAGTTCTGTACCAGCGTGACTGGCCACAGGCTCACCTGGGAGTCGGTGGACCCACTGACTAAGGAAAACTTCTGTGTTTGTCCTAAAAGACAGATCATGCTGGAGCTGTGCTCTGGCTGGCATAAGCACAGCTGTGCTACGGCGTGCTCTGTGTTGGTGGCCGGTCGTTGGTTTTTTGTTTTTAAATCTCCAAAGCTAACGTGATTCAGGAGAGTGGTTCGCTAATAAACAAACTGAAGCACACTCGTCAATTACATGAAAAGGTAAGAAAAACACTTCCGAGTGATAGCAAGCAAAAAAGGGCCTGGCGTTCATCCAGGCGACCCCCAGGTCAGCTCCCCGGGTCGGCCCCTATGTACACCTGTGCGGCTCCGGAGGCAAGCCCCCAGCCAGTCACAGCCTCGCTCCCCTGTCCCCACCCCGGCTACCCTGGGTGGGCGGGAGAAAAAGTAAAGGGGAAAAAAAAAAATCTGCCTTTTCTCCAGCAGTCAAGAGGGGACCAGGTGTGGACTTTGATCTCAGGCTACAATGTGCTTTTTTAAAAAACAAAGCAGAGAGAAAGGGGGAAAAAATGAGAGCCGTGGAGCCCAGCGCAGGGGCTTCGGGAGCCCCTCTTGCGTGGGGCTGGGTCTCCACGGGGCCCGTGCGTTTCCGGGGAGGCTGGGGCTGTCCACCCCCCTGGCGGCCGCGCGGGGTCGGGAAGGGGGTCGGACGCGGTCGGGGGCGCCTCACAACGGGCTGGCCAGCGCCTTTTTCGACCTCTTGATCATGCTGGGGTGGAACTCGGTGTGGCGCCGGGCGTGCTTGGTGAGGTGGTCGCTGCGCATGAAGCGCTTCTCGCACAGCGGGCAGCGGAACTGCTTCTCGCCGGTGTGGGTCCGGTAGTGACGGGTCAGCTCGTCCGAGCGGGAGAACTTTTTAAGGCAGTCTGGCCACGTGCAGGGGAAGGGCCGCTCGCCTAGGAGAGAAGGGACACTGGAGGTTAGAGAGGGCCAGTCAGGAAGGTGCCACGGGTCACTGCTCGCCATCCTGCAGGGGGTGCCCTCCTCACTCTCCACCCCCGGCTCCCCACATCCTTGTACACTAACGTCCTCACCGCAGCACCCCCAGAAGGGATTTCATTTGCAGACGGGGACTTTAGGGAGGCCATTAACAGTCCACAAGGTTCAGTCACTGCCTGCAGTGGCTGTGCGCCTAGAACAAACATGTTCCCAAGAAGGCACAGCCACAGGTGGCTGTCCACCCTCCCAGGAGAGAGGCCTCAGCTTGAACCATCCCTGCCTGGGCCTTCCTAGGACCCCCTGTGCCTAGGCCTCCCACCCCGTCATGGGGGCTGTAGCCACCTGGGCCACGTGGCTAGGAATGGCCTGAGCTTGCCGTTCTGCATTAAAGTGATCCCTCAGAAAGCACGAACTCTGCTTTCCTCTCCTGACTGGCTGGCTGGCTGCGGGCGTCCTCTGTGAGCTGCCCACGTTCTGCCATCGGGGGATGGACGGTAACAGGTGTCTGGGGCAGCTGGCCACCGCCCACCTGCAGCACACCCCGCTGCAGCCTGGTTGGCCCTGGAGAGGCTCTGCCGCATTTACTGCCTGTAAACGCCACCACCTTGGCACCGACGTCTGCTCCCACTGAGGAACGGGAGCTTCTGCTTCTCCCCCTGTAACTTCCAGACTAAGCAGCCACAGCTTCTTCCATAGCCGTCCTGGGAGAAGCACCGATGTCCCGGTAACACGGCAGGCACGCAGCTATGGGCTTCCTGGGCATCCACTCTAAACTCTCACAAGCACCCCAGCACCCAGTGCTGCTTTACAGAGGACAGCACGGAGCCCGGCAGGGTTAAACTGCTCACCCGAGGCCACGGAGCCAGACACCAGGGCCCCACACTGACTTCGTTTTCGGAACTCCAGGCCTGCACCCGGAACCCTCACTGTCCTGCTTCCTGGGAGTCTTGGGAATTTGACAGCGTCACCTCCCTTCCCTGGATTCCCTGTCTCCACAGCAGCTCAGTGTTGCCTGCCAGACACAGCCACCACAGCTTCAAGAGCAGCACCTCCACCACCTTTAGGGTGATGGGGCAGGGCCAGTGCCCATGATGTGCAGAGAACATCTGTGTGTACATGGGCAGAAAGGTTGCATGGCCGTGGGAGATGAGCACTTCTCCTTGCCTGCTCTTCATGCCTCCAGCACAGCCAGTAGCAGCTGCCTTGTAGACACAGGACCCGTGGACTCCTGGTGCCCACAGAATTCTCCAGAAACTCCTTCCAAACTCAGAGAGAAGCTGCCGAGGCTAGGAGCTGGCCAGCGCGTGGCCTGAGTCAGCCCCAAGGCATGCTTTTTGTCCTCTCGCGTCACCTGTGCCTGGGAGATGTGGCAGCGTGACAGAAGCCAGCCAAAGCAACCAACCCAGCTGCCTTTGCGCTAACCTCTGTGTGACTAGTGAGTCTGTGCTCTAAGCAGAGGGATGCTCCAAGGCTCTGCACAGACCCAGTGTGGGAAAGCTGGGCAGTGGATGCTGTCCGCACAGATTGCATTATGAATCCCTGAGCTCGGGGCTGAAAAGCTTCAGCAGCAATGGATGATGATGACCAGAAGTAGCTGGGATCCCATCCCTGTGGGGCATGGAGAGAGCTGCTGGTAGTGATGCATGTAGATTTCCCTGCTGTGTGTGTGTGGAGGGCATGCCAAAAGGAAACACAGCTGTCCCTAAAAATCTCAGCAAAATTGTGGTGTTGGGAGTTCAACTTCTGTAAGGTACAAACAGATATTCACAATGCAGGAAGACGGAACATCTTGAGGTCAAGACCCAGTCCTGTGGGACTTTCCTCCTGCTGCCGCTGCCAGACGCAAACCTACAGCCAGCCATCTCCTTGGTATCCTTGGGAGACCTGATTCCAGGACCCCCTACCCTGCACCACTCAGGTACCACCCAGGCCATGCTTGCTCAAGCCCCTTAAGCGAAATGCCCTCCCCTGTGCTTTAAATTGTATCTAGATGACTTATAACACAACAAGAAAGAAAACATATATATATCCAGGACAGATGAAATTTTTTCCAGATTTTTTGGTTGAATCTACAAGAAGGACCCCTGTTACAGAAGGCCAAGACATAGGAACACCCCCCTTACCCTCACACAGAACAGACACCCCCCACTTTCACAAATCACACAGGCACCCCCCCCCCGCCCCCGCCGACAGCACAGTGTGCACAAGGGCCAGGTCTAGGGTATGCTGGGTTGGGCACAGCACCTGCTGGTTTGCATAGGACATGGGGCAGGGATGGAACTGACCAGGCAACTACAATCGCGTGTGTGCGTGTGTGTAGACTGATACTACTGATGGACTGACCTGGACCCTGTACTGACTGGGGTCACCCCAGGTGAGGTTTCTTGGGGGACTACTTCACTGGCCCACTGGGCTCAGAACTCCCTCCACAGGGAGGACCACAGGCTTTGTGGTCTGACAGGCGTGGTCAGGACGGATGCCTGTGCAGTGGACGGCATGTCCAGGTGCGTAAGTGGGACATGACGGCCAGCTCATTTGGGCCTACAGAAGATGGAGAACAGAACAGGTTGGCTTACTCTCCAGGACAAGCTTTGGCAGCGAGCATCTGGGTGAGCGGATGCAACAGGGTGGATGGTAGGGCACTGTGCAATAGGCCTTGGAGGATTTCTTCAGTCTTGGAGCAACAGCATCTTAGAACCCAAAGCCACTCAAGCAATACCCTTGGAACGTTCTTCTCCACATCCAGGTTTCTAAGATGACTTCAAGTGGACATCCCCCCTCCTCCGGGCACTGATGTAGCCTGGCAGCTGGGAGCAGCCCCTCCCCACCATACAGAAGAGAAGGAAAACAAAGTATTTGTCACGCCTACCTCCCCTCATAGCTCCACCTTCCCCACCCTAATCCATGGTCCCCAGGGACAAGCATCCTTTTCAATTATGTAAACAACATCAAAAATAAGATTAAATAATAAAAATGTGGGAAAAATATATAAAAAGAAAATTGGGCCCGGCACGGTGGCTTAACGGCTAAAGTCCTCGGTTTGGATGCACTGGGATCCCATATGGGCGCTGGTTCATGTCCCGGCTGCTCTACTTCCCATCCAGCTCCCTGCTTGTGGCCTGGGGAAGTGGTCAAGGACGGCCCAAGGCCTTGGGACCCTGCACTGTGGGGGAGACCCGGAAGAGGCTCCTGGCTCTTGGCTTCGGATTGGTGCAGCTCCAGCTGTTGTGGTCACTTGGGGACTGGACCAGCAAATGGAAGATCTTTGTCGCTCTCTGGAAATCAGCCTTTCTGATACAAATAAACAAGTCTTAAATAAGTACATAAAGACACCTACTTGGAGGTGAGTTGCTATACTAGAGGAGCCCTGCTACTCTTTATTTCTTCAGGATGATTCTGACAAACACGAGGAACATTCAGTGATGGGAATCCAGATGAGGAGTTGGCATTCTTCCTCTGCCCTGGAGCCGCCTGTGACCTGTCTGGGCTCACAGTGCAAGTTCATGTTGTAATAGGAGAAAGTTGTATGAAAATAAAGACACCCTGTCCTTATAGGGAGGCTTATGAGAAACAGCCACGCTCATTACCTGTCATTACTACTTGTTGGCTACAACAGCAATGTTGAACGGTGGCAACCGATGCTGAACGGCCCACAGGGTTAGAACCAGCTGTCACCTGGCCCTTCGTGGCCTTGCACTGACCACTCCTCCTAGCAGAGGATGCATTTCGGCCCGCTGTCCTCCAGGTCCTCAGGAGACAGGTGTGTCATCAATCATGTGGTGGAGCCCGTGGTCCACTCAAGAGGCACAAAGATGCAGTAGTGCAGGTGGCCAACATGCTGCAGCACCTCTTGTCCCCGGTCCAGTTCCCGTGGGAGGCAGAGCAGAGTAAACCAGAGCCACTGAAGGCATCCTCTTGAGAGACACGCCACGTGTTACACCCGAGCGCGTGAGGCGTGGGGAGGTCTCAAGTGGACAGCAGCAGGCGGACGGCCAGATGGGGGGCACAGAGGACCTGCCAGGAGCAAAGCATGGCCCCAGAAGCCTGGGCTCACCCTGGCCTCCCGCAGCTCAGCGCCATGGTCCCGAGGAGAATGGCCAGGCACGTGGCGAAGCAGCTCTCTCAGAGAGAGTACTAATGAGTTAGCATCTCACGGGAAGGGAGGAAGAAGGGGGAGGCCTGAGGAGGTGCTTTATTTCTGGCCTTCCGCAGGAAAGCACACCCAGAGGCTGTGACAATAAGCTTTACTGGAGCAGAGCTGTGAACGCACAGGCCGCTCGCAGGTCTCATTATCCATACGCTGCATCCCGCCCCTAGCAGCAAGAAGCTGAGCACCTCCTCTTAGCAGAAAATACCCTGTTCACAGAAGCTACCACCCAGCCCACCACTCGGGTCAGGATCTCAACTCTCCTGGGCCTGCAGGGGTGGGGGGCACCAGGGAAGTGCAGTGGGGCTGGCTCACGGTCCACCCTCCCAGCACACAGGCCATGAGTCAGTGACACCAAGTGAAGCTGCTGTTTTTTTAGGGAAGCCCTCTAATTCAAGATGTGGGGTGCTCTCCATGGAAGAGAAAGGATAGGGTGCTTGGCAAGTGCCCCTCCTGGGGTCCTGGTCCCCTATGCACCCCCATTCTGCCAACTTCCTGCTCCTAAGCCAGGGAAGCATCTAGAAAGGCCCGCCTTTGAGGTAGGAGGGTTTAAATCGGAGGATTTAAAATCAGAAATCTACTGCTTAGCAAAAGTAACCCAATCTGGGGGAAAAAAGAAAGAAAAGAAACAAATTTCAAGGAATTAGGCCTCCTTTTCATAACAGAACTCAAGATGTACCAATTAAGAATCAAAGACTCCCACAGATGTAAAAACGCCAGCGGCTGTGTCTTGGAGAGAGACTGGTGGCAAGAAATGGCAAGCAGAAGTTAGAGATAAGAGGATAATTTGATCTTAGGGAATCCTATGGA